CCCCGCAGCCGCGGCACGGCTGGGGCCGGAGGGATGCCGGGGCTCAGGAAGGGAACTCCCATTACTCGCTCTGCGCTGGAGTTTGCCCTTGGGAAAAGAAACTCACCCTTAACCCCCTGTACGGAAAATAGATGGAAATTTAGAAAGGTTGAGTCCCCGTGACGGGGGAAGGGTATAATGCTCAGTGATATTTTGGTGTCTGACCTTCTTGTTTTTCTTAATCCAGGCAAAATGTATCTTATTTCTTTTCCATTTGTTCTCTTTGAATTTTGTCAGGGTATTTTTATTTTTTTTCTTTAAATCTACAGTGAAACCAAAAATCGATTCTTTCTATGTCTATCCATTATAAATTTCTAATTTGTCATCTATTATCAGGTTTCTCATGTGTGGAAATAGTTGGGGGTTTGTTTGGTTTGTTTTGGTTTTGTTTAAATTAACTTGTGCTTACTTTATGGGTTTCTGTTGCTAGTAAAGTTTTATAGTTTAACAAATATAAATGCTTAAACAGAAAAACAGTGGATAGCTTTATTTTTTTGTGAGGCACTGTGCTGGATATGGAGCAAAGCAATGGACTTTGCCCAGTAACTTTTTTTTTAAAAAAAAAAGACTTCTAAAAAACTGAACCATGAACATGTGGCCCAGTCGACTCAGTTTTTTTTAACATAACTAACTTTGCCTTAAGCAGTTTTCTCTTACTGTTCTACAGCATGTAATGTTTTGATTATTTGTTTTGTTGGGTTTTTTCTCAAATTTCCCTCTAGGTTGATTTACAAACTGGACTCTCTGAAGTCTCTGTGCTACAGCGCAGGTTAAAACATGGCTGGAACGAATTTTCAGTGGAGAATACAGAGCCGATATGGAAGAAATATCTAGACCAGGTAAGGATTTTCTGTACAGATTCTCATTTTCTGGTGAAAACTCCTGGCTGGGTTGGCCTGAGTGTGTCTCTGTGTTGAAATATTCAGGATTTCTGCTTCCACGGATTCAGCCTTGGAAGAGGCCGTGCCTCGGATACAAAAACTGCCTCTTGCCCCAGGAAAGCCCTTGTGAGATTCAGACGCAGGGTCATTTAATGTGAAGATAACATCTTAAAATAAAAATAAACCTTCTTTATCTCCACGCAGCCCACAAATCAAAAACTGTAGGTCAGTGACCCGCTTTCTGGAGCGTATTTATTCCTTTTAAGGCAAGTGATAAAATCATGACAGGTTTGAGGAAAACTGGTAGTAGCCAAAAGCCGCTCTGATTTCGGTTACCCTGGGGAAGGAAAGCCCTAAACCTCCAGCGGCAGCAGGGGCAGTTGTAGAGTTCCGGTGAATAGTAGCATCTCTCTCAGCCGCGCACCGGTGCCGGACACGTTCATACACGGTGCCGCAGGGTGGGAAGATCCATGATTCCAAACCAGCTGCCCCACAAAGCCAGGCAGAAGGTGGTATTTGCAATCTTGTTTGTCCGCAGCTGAGTTATCCTTGAGTTTTGCTTTTATTAACTGGTTCTCATCAGTATTTAATGCACCTTTCACCTCTCTTTTAGAGCTTTTAACCAAACAAGAAGGGTCTTTGTTTGTTTCCTTTCAACCAGCAATTTGACTGATTTTCTTCTTGCTTAGCTGAAGCATGAAGATTTTTAGTTGCTTTGAAAGACTTTATTTTTATTTCGGGGGTTATCCCTTTTTTCCTATGTGATCAATATTCTTCAAGCACTTTGTAATCATCTCTTCAAGGATTCTTTTAGTCTTAATAAAAAGTGAGATGGTGCTTTTTTTTTCTGCTCATCCTTAAGAAGCTTTTTCTCCTACGGGGACACCAAACGAACTCTTTAGTGCATCTCTGAGCCTTCTACAACCTCTCCTTCTCTCTGGAAGAGCTGCTCCTAGTCCCCCACCATTCACAGCTCTGCATTTGAGCACAGTCCCGCAGCAGATGCTTGACGTGGCTTCTTCCAGTTGCTATTTTTGTAGAACATCCCCTTCGGCCCAGTCTTTCTAAAGAGAAATGAAGGGACTTTCACTTTTGGCTTCAGCAAGGAATACATTTAAACCTTGGCTTTCCTACCGCGTATCGCCACACATCTGCTACCCGAAACAGGCAGTCTTGGTTTTGCCTGACTTAATTCCCTTACATCAATTCCCACATGAGCTAAATAGAGCTGTAACTTTCTCAGGTAGGAGAAAGGTCCCTAAAATCTGTGATTAAAAGCACAAAAAGTGAGGACCTGACTCCCACAGCCCTGGGTACAGAGCAGAGTTTAGCAGATTTCTTTTTTTTCTTTTTTTTCCCCCCTTTAATTAAAAAAAAAAAAAAGAGGATTTCTGGTTTCAAATTCTAAAAAGACAATAAAGTTTTTGTTTGTACCTGTTGTGCCTCCAAAGAGCTTTCAGTCAGCCCTGTGCTGTATGCCTGCAAAGGTGAGTGCTGCCTGTGCAAGCAGGGGAAAAGAGAGGAAACTTGTGTCCTTCGGTGTGAGCCTTGTCCTGCTGGTCCCTGATGCCTTCTGTGTCCTGCACAGGGGGAAGGATCCGGCATCAGCCCCACCACAGCTGCTGCACCCTCTCTGTCCGGGCAGAGCGATGCTGCTGTCGTGAGCAAGGACGGTCCCTGCAGCAAAACCGCGTGTCTAACCCTTACTGATGAGATCTGAGGCCAGCGCAGCTTCACCAACTCCATATTTAATTTTATATTGCATTTTGGTTTTATTCTTTCAGTTCAAAAATCCCCTCATTCTCCTGTTGCTGGCTTCCGCTTTAGTAAGCATCATCACGAAAGAATACGAGGACGCCGCGAGCATCGCCATGGTAGGTGGTACCTCTCCTGCAACCCAACCCTTCGCGCTCTGAAGCTGGTGTGCCCGCGCCTGTAACGTCTCTTTGTTCGCAGGCAGTGCTCATCGTGGTCACCGTGGCCTTCATCCAGGTACGTCAGTCGGAGCTCAGCTCTACGGCCGGGGCTGTCACGAGCAAGCCCACTCATGTAACTTGGCTTTCTTCTCCTTTCTTGTTTAAAAGGAATATCGCTCGGAAAAATCTCTGGAAGAACTTAACAAGCTGGTGCCCCCCGAGTGCAACTGGTGAGGCACGCCTGGTTCGGTGGGTTTTAGCAGGGTTTGGGCTATGAGGGCAGAGCCCGTAAGAGGGTGAAGAAAATGACTTCAGGTTGTCGTGCGCACAATGAGAACCTGGTGTCTGGAGGGGTGGCACCATGTGTGGGTGTGGCTCTAAGGCACAGGGAAAGGGGATAAAATAACTCTAACTTGTAAAGTGGGCCCCCAGAGGAATTGAATAAATGCTGAGAGACAGGAGGGTCCCAGAAGTGTCCTGCTCCACACCCTGCATAAGGGTCCCTGCAGCCTTTTGTGAGTTGCTGACTCCCCATGCAGGAAAAACCTCACTTGCATTTTTTTTTTTTTGGCTTTAGCGTAGTTTTGCCCCTGGTCAATCGGCACAAAATGGCTTATGAGCAGAGGTGCACATGGGCTGGGTTTCCTCGCCCATGCCTGCCCATTGCTGTATGTCCGAGCCGGGCACGGGCACACCAACCAGGCGTTCTGGTGCAGATCGGCCCCATTGCCTGTGGAGCAATTGTAGGGTGTATCAGATACCGCTTCCCTGACTGCTTTGATGTTTGGTATCAGTGCTTTAGATTACAGAAAACATTTTTCCTATTTATGTCTTTGCAAATCAGTTTTGTCACGGCCAACATAAATAAGCTGTGAGGCTCAGAGAACCTTTGCACTGCAAAACCAATGTGGGGTTTTCTTCTGGTCCAAAGTTCACCCAGGTTTGGATCTTACAAGCACCACTGTTTGCTCTTTATTTATGATATGACACCATAAGCATCCAACCGCTTCAAAGGCTGTACTTTAATATAACAGTGAAATGCCAGTGGTAATTCTAGCTTTAGAAAGCTTCTTTTTTAGGTTAGAGAATTTTCATGTCATTACTTAAAGCATGAGCCAAGGGAAAGCGCACCTTCTTGTCACTCCGATCTACTGTATGAGTACTGTTTAAGTCACTTATTGCTGAAATGTAAATCTTCCATAACCTGCCCATCTGATTATGAATTAAAACTGAGCCCAAACTGAACATGATCATCTCTCCTCATCCTTATGAAGATTTTATGTTCTTATTTACACTGGAAGCTCTTTGGGGCAGGGCTCTTGATTTCTTGCCAGTCACATTCCCAAGACTGCAGAAGGAATAAAAACCTCAGAGCCTGGCTTCCTTTTTTCTTTTTCCATGTCTCATGTAGCCTAAGGGAAGGAAAACTGCAGCACCTTCTTGCGCGAGAGCTTGTGCCTGGAGATATCATATATCTGTCTGTTGGCGACAGGGTTCCTGCAGACCTCAGGCTGATAGAGGTAAATACAGCTATACGTACAAGAGCCTATTTTGGACATTCCTTGTCTTAACAGCGCCAGAAATGTGTATTTTTAATTAGGTTACAGACCTGCTGGTGGATGAATCCAGTTTTACTGGAGAAGCTGAGCCTTGCAACAAGACTGACGGTGTATTACTAGAAGCCGGAGACATAACCACGCTGAGCAATGTTGTTTTCATGGGGACCCTGGTGCGATACGGGAAGGGAAAAGTGAGTCCTGTCAGCCCTGATCTGTTCCTTGACAATAGTTAAAGAATCTCTAGGGGTTTTTTCATCTCCCGCTCTCTTTTTTCCTTCTTTTCAGGGCGTAGTTATTGGGACGGGTGAAAATTCACAGTTCGGAGAGGTGTTCAAAATGATGCAAGCTGAAGAGGTAAAGAAGTCTGTGTTTCTCTCTGGACATGGTGGATGTTCCGAATGAAAGTTTGTACGGAGGAACAATTCCGAGAGTTAGTGCGCTGGGTTCACTTCCGATTCTGCTACGAGATGGCTGTGTGACTGAGGGACACCAAAGTGCTGTATCTAAAAAAGAAGGTTATAAGGAGGATTTAGGCTTCTAAATCCAGAGTTATGCTGCTCAGCTTGTGTCTAGCTTGGTAGTCACCTAAACATCATGGTTTCTTCTCCCTCCTCCCCACCTTTCCACTGTGTATATAACATTTTACTTCTATACATGCCAAAATTTTATGGGTTGGAGGTTTGAGCTAACGCAGATGAGGGTCTGGAAACTAGTTAATTCTTGTTCTGTTAATGCAAGAAAGCACAGCAAAGCAGAAGTAGACACTTGTGAATAATGTGTGTGCAAAGCCTCTGGGACAGGGATCCAGACTTTTTATCGTTGTCCAGTCCTGGACTCGATCGCTAAGGTCCTTTCCAGATTTAGCCTGTAGTCTGTCTCCACCTTGGCTCCCCAGCTGTAAACAAACCTAATTCTCTGCTCCCAGTTTTTGCCTGTCATGAGTGCACTGAGGCAGAGACTCTCTCCCCGCGGGACAGTCTGTGCCCAGCGGACGCCGTTGGGGTGGGCAAGCGCTGGGGTACATCGGGTGGCTGTAGGGACCACAGCAATGACAACCAGGACTGTGCGGGTCAGTCCTGGGCTGGTTGTTATCTTCTTATCTCACATAACGAGCAAAGAAAACCAGCTGTTCTCTAATGTTTCCAGACTCCCAAAACACCTCTCCAGAAAAGCATGGACAGACTGGGGAAGCAACTGACTCTTTTCTCCTTTGGCATAATCGGTGAGTTGAACGCTGGAGCCCTCTGTGCTCCAGGGCTGCTTTCTTCAAAAGCGCTCGTCGATGTGGGTTACTGGGACTTTGGGGGTTCAAGCAGAGACGCCTTGGAAGGAGAGTTTTGAGGGGCCTTATTGCATACTCCATTCTCCAACAACAGCTAAAGCAGGTTGCAGATTTATGAATTTTTTGGGTTTTAATTGGATGTTTTTCCCCCACCAGGTTTAATAATGCTCATTGGCTGGTTACAAGGGAAGCACCTCCTCAGCATGTTCACAATTGGAGTTAGGTGAGGACTGGAGAGCACCTTTCTCTTTGATTTCTAATGAAACGTGTCCCAGGGAATTCCCTATTCGAAACAATGGACATTTCACAAAAGAGAGAACTTGAATAAGACCCTTCAGAAATACATATTGACCTTGCAGTGGTGAAATTAAGTAAGCTTCACAACAGAGTTTAGTAGAAAAAAACAAGTTTGAGGGCTTATTTAATTTTGAAAATCAGTATTTTGGAAATCTTCACTGGCTTTTCTGCCTCATCCTGCTGTGAATGTCCTTTCCTAGCTGTACTATGAATTTAGTGGGAGTGTAGCAACAGCAAATATTAGTCTTTGTTGTTCCTACTGGATTTACATCTAAAGATAGGAATGTGCATTTTATGCAGCATAAAAGCATGTACAACCTCTTAATCAAACATAATAAACCATGTGTTTTTTAGTAGTACCCATAAAACCTGTTGTTTGGTGTTGTCATGGCTCTAAAATCAATTCTTAAAAAAAAAAAAAAAAAAAAAGGTTTTTTTTGAAAAAAAAAAAAAAAAAAAAAAAAGTTTTTTATGGAAAAAAAAAAAAAAAAAAGAGATGAGGAGGTAACAGAGAAGCCAGACTGACTCGGTGCCCACCTTCCTGTCTCCTGGGGGGGATGCAGTGGCAAAGAAAAGTGGTTAAGCCTGAGTTTTGGAGAGTAGCCTATGGTTTCGAAAGCCCTCCTTGATTTCTTTTTGCACATACCTAGAAATCTTCAGAGTTACCCAAGGAATAACTAAGGGACAGATATGGATCGTGCCTGTATTTTTCTGGCATGTCAGGTGTTGCAGGTTTTGATGTTGCTCCAATTCAGTGTGTGAAGCATGGGGGCATCTGGGGAGCTGATTTTGTCCCACCATAGCTTGTACCCACATGTAAGAGAGGAGATGAGGGGCTATGTATGGCCAGGAGCCAGTAGATAATGTGTGAGCCGTGATGCCAAGGAATATTCAACTTCCATCCTTAGCAAGTTAAATAAATGAAATTAAATCCAACCCCTAAATCCCTAATTAGCCAGAAATTAATGCTCTTTGGCAATGTAAAGAAGAAAAGTAATTGCTCTGTCAAAATCACCCAGAAAAAGATTGAAGGGTTGGATACATACACTGCTTTTGTATTTACGGTGTGCCAGGAGTCCCAGTGCCTAGCACCGCAGGCTCCCACTCAGATACGCACGTATAAGCAGGAAAACTCACCCCATGGAATTGTCCCTTTGGCATGTTTTGGTCTGTACTTATAGCTTGACCCCTGTGCTGAAGCTGTTTTCTCTTGGCTGTCCCCAGCCTGGCCGTGGCTGCCATCCCAGAGGGACTTCCCATCGTGGTCACCGTAACGCTGGTGCTGGGCGTTCTCCGGATGGCCAAGAAAAGGGTGATTGTGAAGAAGCTGCCCATAGTGGAAACCTTAGGTAAGGCCACACAGTTTGGTCATCTGCCAGGCTTCAGAATCTGAACTGAATAGCAACAGGCTGGCCAAGCGAGCCTTGGTCTGATTAAAAAAAATAAATTTGGAATATGCTTTCTGGGCCAGAGTAACCCACTCAGACTTAAATGCCTTTTGTACCCTGTGTTTCTCACCCTTTCCCCTGATTTTGGTGATATTAACACTGACAGGCGTTAGGAACAGTGCAACCCAACCCATGGCGTTGGCCCATGGGGAGCAGAAAGGCTTGGTTTCTCATTCCTCCGCATTCCGTGGGATCATCCTCCAGGTCCATCCTGTCCACTTCTTCAGTGTCCAGCTACAAAGCCTTGCAGCCTCTCAAGTCAAGCCTGGTGGCATAAACAAAACCATTTGCCCTTCCGCAGCTTGTGTGGCCATCTCCCGTATATCCAGAGTTACGGAAACAGGGACAGAGAGGACCTTGAGGAGGCGTGCAGCCCATCCGCAGAGCTGCCGGGCAAAATGAACTGTAATGAAATTATTCTTCCACCTCCCCCTATCCCCAGGTCACTGTATTCCAGGCTTTGCTACCCTGACCTTACTCAGTATGGCCATTATACGGAGGAGAAGACATGTTGTGCTTTTAGTACTGCTCGTTAAAAAGCACACTAAATGCCAAGCCTGGCCCGTTGCAAATATCTGCTGCACAGGCGGATCCTTCAGCTGTTGGAAATGCTGCTATTGTTTGAACTGCCCTTGTTTATTCTGCAGTTAAGGAATCTTATCACCCTTATTTTATTGTATCTGCCCTGTCCCAGGACATCTGAAACGGCCTTATCTCATGAAGAATTTTGTTCTGGTAGGGCTGTGCCCAAACAGGCGTAACTGCCAGAAGCCCGGGTACTCTGCAAGACAGCCTAAGCACGGCAAAAGCTGTGCTTTCCTACACATTAATTGTTAAACTTCTGAAAGGGAGAAAAATAATCCTCCTCTTCTATCTGATTCTTTTATTGTAAATAACTACAAATGAAATATTGGAGGTGATAGCTTTGCTCTGGGCTAATCTTTCAAAACTGTAATTAATTTAATTGCAGTCCAATCTGCTTTATTCCCTCTGGGCTCTTACCTGGCGGTCATCACACTCGTGGGGTCTGTGCCCAAGCTCTGTGGTCATCTCCAGAGCCAGGGAGGATATTCAGACTTGGAAGGGAGGTGGACTCTGATTCTTTTTTGCATTAAAGCCATTTTTCCTCTTTTGGGGAGTAGAAACTAGGTTGAATATGGTGACTCTGTTAATTCACTCCTTTGCTGTATTGTGGTGCAAATGGGCCCTGGAAGAAAGGTGCTCTGCTGAAGCAGTGTTGTCACAGAGCAGAGCACGAGTGGGGCAGCTCCTGCTTTTAGCTGAGGATTTTTAAGTATTTTTGTAGCAGTCTTTAACACACCTACCCTCACAATCCCTTGGGGAGACAGGGAAGGGCTGTTCTTCCTGATTTAGAGAAGCAAGGGTTAAATGACCCATCTGAGGAAGCATGTGGCAGAGTGGGAATTTAATACATCTTTTCGGAATATAACAGCTGTTCTGCTGATGTGTGATATTGCAGCTCAGAAACATCGATCAGCCCCCTGGAGATCAGTGCCTTCTCTGACCGCCCACCATATGACGCTCTAGACAATGTGGCCCTCCTCAGATGTCTCCTACCACATCTCACATCCAAATTATGTGCTCGATACCCTGACGTTCATTCAAATCCTTTCCTTACAACACCCTGTTAGGAGACTCATCCGTTTCTTGGTATTTTCTCCTTTTTCTCACTGGTGCAGTTTGAGTAACATTAAGGAAACACATTCTCCCTCTTCTGGAACCCTGAATCGCATTGTTCAGTTGCATTATTTATTAGTTCTGATTAAAAACTTTCCTGCATCAGGTTGCTGCAATGTCATCTGCTCAGATAAGACAGGCACCCTGACAGCCAACGAGATGACGGTGACTCGGCTCGTGACCTCGGATGGGTTCCAGGCAGAGGTATGGCCAAGGTGGTAATACAGACTTTCCTGTTTGATCTCAGCGGAGCAAATTTGCTTTTAGTTCAATTAGGCTAAAATCAGGGTTGCTGAGTCAGTCCCAAAACAAGCAGTTTCTTGCACATTTACGGTTCCATTAAAGAGAAGGGACTTTTGCGGAGCCGGAGGCAAGCAGAGGTGGGGCTGAGTGTACAAAAGCTGCTCAGATGCACTAAGAAAGATGTTCATTGACATCATCTGCTGTTCTCTGTCGTAAATACTGAAACCTGCCACTGACCCTTGTGGGCCCATCTTCTGTAGGAATATTTATTATACGAGTGACCTGATCTTTCCGCTTGGTTCACTTACCTGCGTGCAAAGTGGATGAAAAATGCAGATGTGCAAAATGTAAGGCATTGGAGACACAGACCAGTCATCAGTAGGGTAAAACCAGTGAACCCACTGCTACCAAAGGGCTGGATGTCCCTCTGAGCTGCAAGAGACTTCTGAACTCATGGCAAACAAGTTCTGTACAAGACAAGCTGGTTCTTTTTGTTGCTATACAGTTGTTGTAATATTATACTTTCATTATCTGCAGCCTTTCCTGTAAGTATTGCTTTGAGCTAGAAGGAATAATCCCAGCATGTCTTCAAGATCAGAAATTTGCTCAAGTGCACCCTAACGTGCACAGATGTGGTATAGTCCTGCCTGGCACTGGGAAATTTGCTTTTTCTGCCTCTCCCTTCCTCAGGTCAGTGGGGTGGGCTACAATGGAGAAGGAAATGTTTGTCTTCTGCCATCAAAGGAAATTCTTAAAGAATTTTCCAACATCTCAGTTGGGAAACTAGTGGAGGTAAGTATAAATTATGAACCAGCTTGTCCTATTTATGTTAAATTTTCATTTGCATGGATCATTTTGGGTAATGAGTGGGGAAAAAAAGCCACTTTTGTAACTCTAAAACAAACTGTCTTGCTAGAGCATTCTCAGGGAAAGGCTCTGAGTAATTGTGATATAATTCCTGAAGCTTATGGGTGAAAGGTAGCAACCACAATGTATGTAGGGAGAGACCAGAGTCATTGGCTTAAATTGCCAATGACATTTTGGATAAAAATACAATTCTGGCAGAGGAGAGACTGAGTAATGTTACCGTATTCATGTTTTTTATGTGGACAGATTCTAGACTTTAGCTAGCTACACAGTCAATTTATAAATGTACTGTGATGGTCTCTGGGTTTTGTGTTAGTACTAAATAAAATCTTGCACATTCAACTGCAGACTAAAGTGGAGTGACATTATCTGAGTTGGAATCTCAAATGGAAGTTAGCTCTTATTTTATCCATACTGCACATTAAAAGCAATAGTAGGGGAGACTAGGTTTTCATTTTCATAATTTATCAAGCCTGTTAGATATATATCATGTTTTGCTTGATGTTAGTTTATCCAAAACATAACATTTTACCAAAATGTCAATGTATCCTATGGATTAAGTCAGTTTAGAAAGCACAAGAACTGATTTCAAGAGATGCTGTTACAGGGAATAGCACATCTTTTGGGATGTGGCTGCTTTCATTCTCCAATCTCTCATTATTTCATTTAAAGACATAAAAAAGCTATGAAGAAATAAACCATGTATATATGTCTCTTTCTTCAGGCTGGCTGTGTAGTCAATAATGCCATTATCAGGAAAAATAGTGTGATGGGACAGCCCACAGAAGGAGCTCTCATTGCCCTTGCCATGAAGGTAAGATTGTCAAGATCTAAATTTTTCCAGAA